TTCTTCTGCCACTGTTTTAATGCCTCAGTCGACTTTGTACATGTAAGAGAAACACCAATGTATCCAGCAAACTCTTCCAGAGTCTGGTAGGATTATTTTTTTTACTGATCTTTTGGAGGGCACCGTATTATTTTTACCACCTCACCACACAATTCTGCAGAATCCGATATACTACAACAAAGGGAATGAGGTCTTTGAAGACAAAATGCAAGCAGTCATCATTCCCCCTAGATTTAACAGTAATTATCAAATATTTGGATTAGCCAGATAGCAGAGGGAGTATTTCAGCTCTTTGGATATTTGTCATTTGCATCCTGCTCACATGCCAATTGTCTTCAATGTCACATTCATTAAATCCCATTTGCAGAGTCCTGAACCACACTCTGGCAGCAGTAGTTTCCAGGTAGGGCAGCTACTATTGAAGCCCTGCTCAGCTCGTGGTTAGCATTTACGGAGAATGACAAGTCCTCACTCTTCCCATTTTTAGGGGATCACAGAACTTTTTAGCCTAAAGAGAACCATTTTTAATGAAGATAGAAGCCTGAGAGCAATCATTTTATATTCTGTCTGCCTTTTCTGCACTGGTGCAAGGCTGACTCGTAGAGGATTAGTGACGTCTGGATCGAGAACTTTTTATTTAGTGTAATATTTTCCCATAGGAGAAAAAAGTAACCAATGAAGGACTGAAAGGTCCAAGTCATCCAGCCTAAGTATCTGGGGCTTTCTGATCTGCTAGTCCCCTAGGGTGCAAAGCTAGCCTTTTGCTCCTAAATTACCTATGACTGTCTTCTGTAGAAAGTCACCACATCTCTTCTACTCTTCAGGACTTCTGTGTGTATCTCTGGCAAACTCAGCTCTTAGGAGTCACGCTCTTATTTGCTGTCTACAGTGTCGGACCCAGCTACTCTGTGGTGGGCCACAGTGGACAGTGAGACCAGGCACCTTTTGAAGCAATCTGCTTGCCCATGCCTCTGCATTTGCTTTCAAAAGAAGCCAGGGTACATAAGAGAAATACACTAAACCAACTTCTGTCCCACCTTGCAGCCAGGACATGGCTAAGATATATATCCATGTGCAAAAACTGCCATAAATGACTCTCAACAGACATCAGCTCCGCATCAGTGGTAGTGTCAGAGGTCTGCCTATGGAAATGGATAGTCTGTGTGAAAAAATTGCTGTGCTGTCCTCTGTTTGAGCCTCAGTTCTCCTGAAAGTTTTCCAGAGAGACCCTCTCTCTCTCCTTCCCTCCCTGGTTCAAAAGCAGGAAACCCCAAATCAAAATGCTGGTCCCAAGGGGTGTCTGCAGAATCATAGTGTTCATCAAGGGAAATTCATGTCTTTTCATCATCTGCTGGTGGATGAAAGTGTCGTTTGCAGGGAAAAGCTCCAAGCTGGCAATGGTGACGGCATCACACAGATTAGTTGCATTCATGCTGAGCTGTCATCAAATCAGGCCTCCATATTCTCTGATACCTGGCATAATTTGTGAATACTGAGTAGGTCTAGGTCCCTAATGATCTCCAGGTGTGATTTAACCTGGATTAAGCCTTTCATATGTTGTATTTGGTTCTTGGAAGGTCATTTCGTTCCTAATAGGTACTGGTTTACATGTACTCAGCTGTGTTCTTGTCCTTTAGTGCAGTAACTGACAGATGGTAACAAAATATTCCTTTTATAATGAAACCTGGTGAAGAAGACTGCTTCAGACCTCAGAAAATATAATTTGCAAAATAAAGGATGGTCTCCAGGAAAGAAAGGAAATACTGTAATGTAGTACATATTAAATAATTTTCTTCAGGCATCTGGTGATCAGTAGCTCTTTTCTCATGTCAGAGACGTGACCTAACTGTTATTTTCCAATTAGTTATTGCCTCATTCACCTTTGTACTCTTAGAAGTCTTGTTTCTGTGGGTTGGCATAAGTAGTGCCTCTAAAAATGTGCAAATTACCTTTGTGAGGATTTGTTGTAGAGCCTTCATAGGTACCAGATTTTATCTGCAGTGTGTAGTCAGATACTTAAGGTTTTCACCTGCACTATAATTAGCCAGGTTTCTGGGTGAATTTCATACTCGTTTTTTAGAGACAATTATGCCCGTTTCTTTTAAATCACTATTAATTCCTGAATCTTTTATGTAACCATGTACACCCTGCATTTTCTCATGGCCTTTGCAAGCTTATTTTGGCAGCTGAATACATCAGAGTTGTCTAATTTATAACCTTCTGCAAGGCAGGTAGTTTTGGATGGCAGAAACCTCTCCAGACCTGCAAGAACCTTCTTCTTAAGCCACTCTTTTGCCACTCTTCATTTCCTCATGCTCCCTCATAACCAATTTTTTACTCTTATCCTCTGTACCAACACACAGTTAAGGAAGACTTGATGTGACTTCCTTTAACATCCATTTACACTGTCCTATAAATCATACAAAATGTTCTGCACAGGCTCAAATCTAGGCATTAAATGAGAATCCATCTGTTCGTTGCTCCCAATGGGAATATAGTTTCTTTCTCTGCATCATTGCTTGACAAAACTTCTAATCCCATCTGAAACTGCTAGTGTGTTGTGTTTGGGGCCTGTTTTATCAAATACGCATCTCTCTGCTCTCTCCTTCCCCTCTCAGGAATTGTTATTTTTAGACTGCTTTTCTATCTGTGTTGGAGTCAAAAGTTACATCTGAACCTATACAAGCTCTAGTGGCATATGCTGCTCTGCTCCTCTGCTGCAGTATCATGAAATCTGTCACCCAGCTCTGTTCTCCTGATCTGTAATCCCCTTGTTATTGCTGCCCTTATGGAGAAATTAATGTGAACACTTCTCTTATTTCTGTTTCTTGTCTGGGTTTTCTTTCACTGTTCTTGCATGTCATGGCCAGCAGTAGATTAGTATTTGCATTAACCTTCGGCTTTATCAGGAGGGGAATCAACATTACTGGACAACTCAGAGCATACTCCCGCTGCTATAATGTGCCCTGTGCATTACAACACTACAGGAGTGTTAGTGTCAAGGTGATGTACCTGCCAAAGTGCTGAGGCACGACATTATTTTAAGAGGGGATCACAGCAACTCTTGAATTGCAGACTCCCTCCTACTTGCAGGTGTCTAAATCTGTGCTGTAAGTTTCCCTTTGCAGCCAATGAGGAATACAAAATAGACACCTCTAAGGTACAATTTATTTCAACCTAAAGTAAACAAAATACATGATTAAAAAGTTATTTCATTTCTACTGACTAAAAAGGCAGCAAAGGCTGACTAGCTTACATGTACACAGCCGCACACAGATACATGACCAGGAGACGTGCCTCGGTTGGCCACTACAACTGCAGCCACTACACACAATGGATCTCACTGCTCCTTCATTGTGGGCTAAGGTCTGTCAAAGCCCCTAGTAGATGTGGGCTAAGGATACACATATGAATGTACGTCACTCAAATGCACATGCAGTTTCTTAGCTGACACATGGCAATTGTTCCTCTTCACAATGCGAGGGAACGTTTAAACCCGTGATGCAATCTGAGCCATCGGGCACTGTGTATCGGGCAGCTGCTCCTTGAAGCCAACCTATAAAGAGCACAGAGTACTCCACTGGGTGGGGTGGGGGTGGGGTGGGGTTTGTTGTTTGTTTTGTTGTGGGTGTTTTGCGTTGTTTTTTAATTGGGAATGAGGAAGTAAGTGCCTGACTCTCTTTACCAATCCCACAGGCTATGAAACCTTTAGTCATCTATGAAGACGTACATTTGACATTTTTTGGAGATTTGGCATTTTCTTAGCACAGATTATTCACACCTTCAGAAATGCCTTAGGGCAACCCAAGCCCAGTGCCTCTCTTTCATTGCCAAAAATGCTTGCCAAGAATTTTGGAGCAAGGCACCACACCAAGTGTATGCTATAGATGTGCCACATCATTACACCGAATACTGCAAGTTTGCTCCCATTTAAGGCTGCCCAGTCCCATGCAACCTCCAGCTGCTTACCTTGACTCCCCCAGCCAGAACATAAAGAGCACCATTCCTGCACAGCCCCATTTCATACCACCAGATCTCCAGCCCCATGCTCTTTGCCTCCAAGGTTCTGCATGGAACTGCTGAGCATTTCACAGAGCAAATGCAGCAGGATGAGTCACTGTCAAAACAAGGAATGAGTTACTGCGTATCGGTTGCTCCATGGAAACAGCCCATGTATATGCTTGAATTTTGTGTGATGCACTGTGAGGCTGCTTACATGACTCTGAAATGGAGACAATTTGTTTACTTCACATATACCCAGGAGAAGAGCAATCTGTGTCACACAACTGCCTAGGTACTTCTGGTGGAGCACCTAACATGCTAGTTTGGCTGAGATTTGGGTGGCTCAGACCACCTGGTTGCAGAAAAGGAACTCAAAGCAGGAGTCTTGACTTGTATGCCCTTAAGGCTTTCTCTCAGTCCTCAAAACCTGATAGCTTTATACACACTACCTGTTAGGAATGGTCCCTGAAATGTGCTGACCCCAAAAATAGTCCTGGGAATTGTTTGGGACAAGAGCCAACATCATGCCAGCTACTAGTTAAAGAGTAAAGTGGGGTAGGTGGTTGCGCTCTAGTAGCTAGAAGCATTGCTAGTGACTGTTGAATTTACTCTTATAGCTGTATCTGAATGTTTCTATCCATGTTCCCTAGAGGCAGTCTTTGTTTACAGCTTTAATAGTGAGAAAATGTGAGTTTTCTGACCATCCCCACACTTTATGGCACATCTTTCAAGCTGTTATAATGAAGAAGTACTAGCAACAAAATTATTACTTACTCCACAAGCAAAATTTTTCTTCTTGGCAGCCCTTGACATTAAGGTACTTCAAAAAGTGTCTTAATATTCTGCAAACAAATGAATTATTTATAATTGTCTTGTCTTTAGATGTGAATTAAAGTAATGGTCTTTTTTAGAGTGTTGAAAGGAAGCAGACAGGTTTAATTGAAGTATATGAAATCTACATGACTACCTGTTTTGTTGGTTTTCTTTTTACTTTATAGGAAATCAATGTATTGACAGTAGCATTGGTCAACCAAGACAGAGAAAAGAATTCAGAGAAACGAAGCTCGGGTTTAAAATCAGAGAAAGAGGCACTATTAATAGGTAAGATAACCTCAAAGAAGAATGTTGAGAACAAAATGCCTTCTAATAAGTTTCTCGTTTGAGTATGTGTTTACATGTATCTTTGTGCTAACAAAAGAAAAAAAATTATTTTTAATTTTCATCTGTATTCATAATGGCTTTTAGTATGAGAAATTCTACAATACAAGTGAACTGTTCCATTCTGAAAAGTTCTGTGGTTTAAAGAAAGGATTTCACGTAAGAATAAAATTGCAGGATCTGCATTTAGATCTGCAGCATGAATGTATGAAGACTTTATTTACATCAAGCTTAGCAGGCTAGACTTGTATCTGATTATTAGACAAAATGGTGAAGGAGAAGGGAATGGAAATAATATTAATAAACTACCAAGCGAAAAATATGTATACTGGATGTATTAAGCTAGCCAGATTTATGCTTTTGACATGAGGAGGCCAGCTAACTGCTACCTGGCATTTAGCCACAGAGGAATGCTGGCTGTACCCATGCTGTCCTTGGAGGGACACTGATATCCATGCATATCTTGTGTTTGGTTTCAGTGGGGCAGGTTTTCATAGAGCCTAAAGTCCCATGGTCTAAAGTGCTCCCTGTGGCATAGTTGCAATTCAGATGAATGCTGACCCAAAAGACCAGGTTTCATTTCTTTGGTTTGGTCTTTTCACAAAATCAGCAGTGTGCTGTTAGGACTCTTCATTAGGGACTCTAGTGGCAGGACAAGGGGTAACGGCTTCAAACTTAAACAGGGGAAGTTTAGATTAGATATAAGGAAGAAGTTCTTCACAGTGAGGGTGGTGAGGCACTGGAATGGGTTGCCCAAGGAAGTTGTGAATGCTCCATCCCTGGCAGTGTTCAAGGCCAGGTTGGACAGAGCCTTGGGGAACTTGGTTTAGTGCAAGGTGTCCCTGCCCATCGCAGGGGGATTGGAACTAGATGATCTTAAGGTCCTTTCCAACTCTAACCATTCTATGATTCTATGATAGTTCCAGAACTACCTTAATTTGTTTAAATGCCTCTCATTTGCATCTGCTAAGCACCAGGAAAGTGGCACGGATTCAGAGAATTCAGACCAAAAAGGTCATTTAAATGTGAAGAATGTATTTAAATGTTTAAAAGGCTTAGTACACAAACTTCTGTGACTGGTGAGGTGTGAAAGAGTGGGACATACAGAAATGTATGAATTGATTTAATTTTGCTTGTTTAATAAAGTGTGGAACTTTAGTTGCAGTGTTTGATCTCTTCAAAGATAACTTCTGAGAGAAGGGTAGCAAGGATGGGATTTTACCGTGACAAGTGGTGGCAGTGTCCCAGAGTGAGTCCCATCGACCAGCTGTTCAGTGGCGCACTCAGATAAACAGTCTAATCTCAGTCCACATGTTACTGGTCATAATACCCCCACAACTGGCTCATTGTTACAGTTCAAAGGCAAAAGATTGCTCAAGATGGATTTCCTGTTATCTTTTCCTCTGAGGCATGTTCAGGTGTGGCAAGGAAAAACTGAGCCTTGTCTCCATCCATTCACTAAGTTTGTCTCTATTTTACAAAATTCAATATTGCCTTAGAGGAAAAGAGCCCAAAAGGAAAACAGTTACTAAAAAGTTATCATGGAATTCCAGTCAAAAACTACAAAATATTTTCAAATTACTTTTTATTTACATTATGTGAAAGAGCTAGCTTTGAACATCCTGAACTGAAAAGCCTTGGGAATACACATAACAAACGCAATGCCACTGGTAAAATGTGATTTGAATACAAATTGGATTTCCAGTCAATCCATCCAAGTGTGATGGTCTTGGCTTTTGCTTCAAGAGCTCTTGTGTGTGTGCTTATATCACAGCACAAAGGAAGCAACTGCTGCTAGGACTTGCCATAGTATAAGAGTAAATACATGCCACTCCCTTTGCAGGATCAGAAGTTTGTACATGCTATTGGAAAAATGAGAGAGGAAAAAAGATGTTCTTTGCAAAGACAGTCTAAAATGAGTTAAATTTTCTTAATCATTTTCACCCATGGCCAGTATTTGGGGAAAAATTAAATCCAAGATTATCCTAATTCATTCAGCATCAAGAAAGCAGTATGGCCTGCAGTACACAAGATACAGTGACCCATTTTTGTCATTTGTAAGCATTTTTAATCCTGGTGTTTATGCTTTAAATATAAGGAACTTCCCCTAGGGTGGTTAGCTAAGAAACCCGTCCAAACAGAGTTGAAAATATTTGCTCTGATTCTTACAGTTCAACTCTCCCCAAACAGTAACACACATGTCATTTTTGTATTTTCATTCTTTGTTTAGAACAGAAGAAATTGGATAGTGCTTTTAGTATCAATTCTGATGCCCCAAATCTTGTTTTCTCTGGTCATCATTATTATACTGTCACTTCATTTTCACTGCAGAAAAAAACCCTGGACTTAGATCCTCACTTCTTTTAAGCCACTTTTATTCCCATACCTTTTGCAACAATCCTGTAAATAACAATGAAGATAGACATAACTGGCTGCCTTTTAAGAGAAAATAAATAAGCAAATATGTCATAAAGGATTTGTGTTTTCTTCTGCAGCAGTTAGGGGTAATACGGATTAAACACTTTTCATAACCAGCATCAGTGTAATTACTAGAAAAAAATGAGGGAGTGAGGTTTCTGACACAATTATATGAAACGTTTTCACAACAGAACATCCAGTGAAGGGGAAAAAAGCAATAATTTTACCATTACAATATCCACAATTTTATATTGGTAAATCAAGCATAAAATTGGTAGTTGAAATGTTTCCAGCAAGTCTTTGTTTAGAAATTCCTTTATTCATCAGTATATTATCTTGGTCACTTACTTGCTAACTGCTGTCATTCCTGAAGATGAGCTATTGTGTTTACCATGTTATTATGACTGTATTAAAAATGTGCCATTTTGTTATGATTATTGGGGTGTGTAAGAAAAATAAGAATCATAACTCGTACTGAAAAACCTGCAAGAACAGACTATTCAGAATTATTTTGCTTATTTTAATGGTATATTTTCTGATGCAATTTCAGTAACTCGTGTGCATTTGTTTTTCATACAGGTATCATATCCACATTTCTCCACGTCCACCCTTTTGGAGCCAATATAGAATATCTTTGGTCTTATATGCAGCAGTTGGACTCTAGGGTAAAAAAATTTAATCAAAATCTGTTTTCTCTATAGAAATATTGTATTATTCTTTACTGCAGGTTAAACTCTTCGTGCACTTCCATTAGAAAGATAATGGGATATGGGGCTTGGGGGTTTGCGGTCTTTATTCATTCGCAAATTACAGTGTACTGAGGTCTTTGCCTCATGCTGCTGAGCTATTCTTTGTGGCAAAGAAGAGCTGAGCTTTAAATGGCAAAGATTAGCAGCTGATTTTATGATACATGATCCTGAAATACAGCTGAGGAGAAAGAAAGCAGAACAAGAGACAGGTGTAGCCACAGCCATCAAACTGTGCAGAGTTTTAGGAGACAATTCCTTATTCTTCTGAAAGTTGTTAGGCATGGGTCACACTGAAGATGAACTTTCATGAACATGTGAATGGTCAATGAAGCATACCCTTTGTCTCCACATGGAAGTGGAGAGGGACACATAAAGGAATTGGCTGACCCTATTGCTAAACTCAGAAAAGGTGTAGCCACTGCAGAAGTGAGACCAACACACTACAGTGTGCAAAGTGGGTTTTAATGCATCAGTTTGTACCGTCCATAGTCAAAACATACCTGTAGGATAAAATTCTTTGACTTGCTTTTAAATATCTACTGTAGGATGAAATGAAATCAACCCCGAAAGGGCCTCTCCACTGAATATTAAGTATGTGAAGGGTGAGAAGCTCAGCCATGAAATAGCCACCTTTGATCAGGTGAATGCTACTCAAAGTGCTAAACAACAGGTCTGCAGGATGATAGATTGCATGAAATACTTAGTGGATGCAGGGGTCACCCTGCGGTTAGCCACAGCTCTGATCCATATCTACCAATACTTCCTATGGATGTGGAGATGACGGTGTTTGCACAGATCTTCTGGCAACATGCAGTCAGGATGTAGTATGGTCTCAGAATGTGAGTGGCACTCCTTGTGTAGTGGTCATTAGACCACTAGTCCAACTGTAAACCTGGCACTGCCAAGGCCACCACTAAACCGTGTCCCCACATCTACATGTCTTTTAAATTCCTCTAGGGGTGGTGGTTCCACCACTTCCCTGCGCAGCCTGTTCCAATGCTTGACAACCCTTCTGAGGAAGAAATTTTTTCCTATATCCGATCTAAACCTCCCCTTGTGCAGCTAGAGACAATTCCTCTTGTCTTATTGCTTGTTACCTGGGAGAAGAGACCAACACCCACCTTGCTACAACCTCCTTCCAGGTAGCTGTGGAGAGTGATAAGGTCTCCCCTGAACCTCCTTTTCTCCAGGCTAAACAATCCCAGTTCCTTCAGCCGCTCCTTGTGCTCTAAACCTTTCACCACCATCATTACTCTCCTTGTGTACATCTGCAGGCTCTGTCCTTGAATTTCTACTCATGTGAGTAATGCGTTGGCTTCTGTGACTTCTGTGGCTGCCAGGATCAAACCCTTAACTTGCAAACACAGCCTTCGTGGAAGGAGCATTGTCTCCATCTCACTATGGTGCCAGCATACCAATCCCTGTAACTACACTGGACCTAGCTGTTGCATAATAAACACAAGCCGCAAAATTTGACCTCTGGTTTATTTTGGAAGTAACTGCTTGTAGGAACAAATTACTTTTTAACAGTGCAATCCATAGGTGCAATCTCAGAGATGAATTTCAATTACTTTCCATGGTTAGCCTGTCATTCTTCACCTGAAAAGGAATGGTAAGGTCAGCATACCCATGTGGGCTGAGGGGTCAGTATAGAGATCAGATACATTACCCAAAGGTAACCAGCTATCCATTAGTGCCATTAGAGTATGTACAAGATGGATCTGATTACTCTGGGGCTTTAGAATTCCTCCAAGACTAATTTTCAGCACCTACTAATATGAACAAGCAGAATTATCATTGCCAAAGAGGCCTATCAAACCATGGAGATACCTGTGGGTCACTGGCAGCGCCAATAAATTTCTGTACTTCTATTTCATGCCATTACTTTAGAAGAAGTAGCAGTAGGATAAAATCTTTTATTTTCATAGAATCAAAGAATGGGTTGGGTTGGAAGGGACCTTAAAGACCTTAAATGGGCAGGGACACCTTCCACTAGACCAGGTTGCTCAAAGCTGCATCCAGCCTGGCCTTGAACACAGCCACAGCTTCTCTGGACAACCTCTTCCACTACCTCACCACCCTCACAGTAAAGAACATCTTCCTTATATCTAATCTAAATCAACCCTCTTTCAATTTAAAGCCACTCCCCTTTGTCTTATCCTTACATGCCCAGGGCCAAAGTCCCTCTCCAGATTTCTTGTAGCCCCCCCATCAGTCACTGGAAGGCTGCTCTAAGGTCTCCCCAGAGCCTTCTCTTCTCCAGGCTGAACAATCCTAACTCTCTCAGCCTTTCCCTGTAGGAGAGGTACTCCAGCCCTGTGATCATCATTTTATGTGACTGTTCATTTCTTGACTTCACTAATGATTATGCCAGAAAGGCTGCCTTCATGAAAGTGTTTTCTGCAATTTCTTCCCACCAGGAAGGTGACCAGGGATTAAGGTTTCAAAACCATAAAAACATCCTGAGTAATGCCAGGTCCGGAACTTTATGGCTTAGTTATCTAGAGATGCTGAATGGTTCAAACCAGGACAATACAGCTCCATGGATAGTCAGCCCTGAGTAACAAAAGTGAGCTGCTTAAAAATAAAAGTCTGTGCATCAGGTTTTTAGCAAGAGAACTGATGGAGTGGGAGGAGGATTCAAGAGCTCCTGGGAGGAGAAAGAAGAATAAGGTCCCATTTGCTTCCTCCTTCTCACAAGTATATCCACAACTGTAGTTCTTAGATGGACTACATATCACATGGTGTGGCTGCAGCCCCAACATAGCAGTTGTCATTCTTTCACAGTGGGATATCACTTACAAAAGCAGAAGCATTCCTGCAAGGAATCTGCACTTGCTTTGGAGTCCATGTCAGGCTAAGGTTAAAAAACCAAAAAATAAATGGTTGGTTGTTTTCATCTGGCCTGGATTCCTCCTCCATCCCTTTATTTCTTTTCTCCATATTTCCCCTTTCCAATCTACAGGACAGCTTTCTCACTTTAATTTTACCTTTATTTCTTTCTCAGATCTCTGCAAATGAGATAGAAATGCTTTTGATGAGACTGCCACGCATGTTTAAACAAGAATTCACTGGTGTAGGAGCAACACTGGAAAAGAGGTGGAAGTTTTGTGCCTTTGAAGGAATTAAAACTATCTGACTGTGACTAGTAATGAAGCTATGCAGAAGAAAAATTCCTAGAGCATGGCAGGGTTATAAAGTATTAAAGTAAGAAATTTGGATTTGGGCACATAGTGGTATGTTTTCAAAGTTATCCAAGCCTGATTTTAGTTACATTTGTGATGTTCTTGTGAGTGGAAATGTAGTTGTGCACCAGTTCCTAAAATAAAATAAAATTAAAAAAAAAAAAGTTTCAAAATGTGACAGATCTGTTTCCTATGAAAACTGAAGAAAGATACCACAGTCATAATGATTTCAAAATACTACATGTCCTACATCTAAGAAAAGCTCATTGAGCAAACAGCTAAGGAGAAAGACTGCCCAGTGATGGTCGCTAAGCTACAGCGATGTATATGTAATATGTAATAGAACTCATTAAGTTTCGTTATTGAAAGTTCTTTCTGTTTAGTAAGAAAATGGAGTAATTTTGCAGTGAGGAAAAGCATACCAAAAGAAAACTTGAAGATGTGTCTGAAGTTATTGTATTTTGTAAATTAAGTTATATGCTGTACCAGGGATTTTTGCCTTATTGAAAGAGGCCTGAAAATGTGATTGGAGTCCTCAAGAATGCTTTATCAAGAATATTATTTTTCTAATGTAACTATTCTCCATTACAAGTTCTTTTAACATGGATTGCATATCAATTTTCATAAACATGTAAATAAGGAGGAAACCAGTGTTACTGTATTGTATTTGGTATGTAACATTCAGGTTTATGCATCAAAATAAATATTCAGTTGCATTACTGTTACAAATTTTATAGCAGATATATTAATTTTTATCAATAAATATGACTTCTACCATATTGTTTGTACAAGTTTTTCTTTTGATGCTTTTGAGTTTGTATCAATACAGCAAGCGTCTCCTGGCACTTACCTTTCTCCTATCTATCTAAACTGTTAATTGTGGATAATTTGGTTAAATTAATTAGGAATCAAAGAAGAGCTTGCCATATTAGCTAAGATTAAAATAATTAAAAATATTGGCAGAGGAGGTACCAGTATGGATCTTTGTATACCTGAACAGATTTCATTTGTTTTTTCAGACAAGCAGCCAAGGTAAAAATGAACACCTTCAGATTTCTCATTTTCAATGTTGTGCTGGGTAGTTGCGATGCATCCAATTAGTTACTCCTTCTAACTCCCAGCTAATGCTTCTGGCCTTTGGCCAGCCAAGGAAAGGAATAACTCAGCTTTGGTGGTGTCCCTTAAGGACATCAGTGTAAATTATCATTTAGGATTTACTGTCACACAGTACTCCAGCACTACTGTAGGAGCCAGCAAAAGCTGAAGAAGTTCGTGTATAACCAAGCTGGGAGAGTATGGAAGCAGTCACTCCTCCCAGAGCCCTCCTTTAAAGAACTGAATCAGTACAGCATTTAGCATGGTGCTGGTTAAGAAACAGCAGCCTCCTCCAAGTCACATCTCTATGTAAGCAGAGGAGCCATCCACAAGAGAGCTGGCCCTGTCAAGTGGGGCACCAATAGCAGGAAATATGGCAAATTGCAACAGATGCAGAGAGTATCCAGATACTTGTCAGAGTGATGTTTCACTCAGGTTCTTCAATAAACAGCAATTAGTGTCAAATGCAATTAGTCATGAAGGAACTCTCTTACATGGCTGTTAGTGATTACTGCTTTAGACTAATTTCTCTTCTGGCATCTACCTGGAATATAGAAATATTAAATGAAATGTTAATTGTGTACAAAAGAGAAATAGAAAGAGGCTTGGTAGGTCTATTGTAGGAGAAAATTATGCTTTCAGTCAGTACACACAATTTTTTTTTAAAGAACATATATGTCTATTCTGGTTGCTGCAGAACCTGTGCTAAGGTAAGTTACTTGGGTGAAACTAGTAATTATATGTTATGTTAATGAAAATTAGTTTAATTCAAATAACTCCTTCTTCTCTTGTGATCATACAGATTTATGAATAATTCAGGCAAAAATGTGTTAGACCTGACAGCTCTTATTTAAGTACTGCAATATAAATGTGTACGGATAGCACTTAAGCTAGGGAAAAGAGATGTGAGAAAACTTTCACCTCAGCTTTCTTCACACCGTACTTGTTCGTGATATTTTGTCCTCCCTTTTCTCGTGTCCTCCTTTTTCTTTCCTTTAGCTCATGTCCTCTCCCACAAAACAACTCCAATCACAAACAGGCACAAAACATCTTAAAACTGACAGGACCTTGTCATCTAATCATCATATTTGCTCTGCTTGTGTTTTCTCTTCCTCTTTTACTTCCTGAGTTCTTCGTGTCTGTCTAGACCATAAGTGCTTTAGGAAAGTGACATTTTAGTCCTTGTGTAGTGCAAGCTAAAAGGAAACCTTCTTCACTGGCCTTTAGATAGCAACAGAGAAGATCTAAACTTTATAAGCAGTATGTAAGCATCCTGCAATATTGTAATGTTTCACATGAGACCTTGAAACCCTGGGGGATGCTTACGAGGATCAGATTGGGCCCCAGAACTGGGTTTAACATTATGTTCTCCATTATTTCCCCCAATTAACAGTTGGGGGAAACTGGATTAAAATGCTCAGCTCCATCACTTAGTTGCTGAAATGTCCTTATGATGACCCTTGGGGGATCAAGTTGGGGATGCTGAAGTGATAAAATGGGATGAATACCAAAGAAGCCACCTTTGAAAGACATCTAGACTGGACATTAGGAAGCATTTCTTTATCGAGAAGGTGGTCAGACACTGGAACAGGCTTCCTAGAGAGGTGGTCAATACCCCAAGCATTTCTGTTTTTAAGAGCCATTTGGACAATACCCTTAATAAGATGCTGTAACTTTGTCAGCCCTGAAGTGGGTAGGCAGTTGGACTAGATGATCATTTTAGATCCCTTCTAACTGATGGTTTGTAGTCTATTCTCTCTCTTCCAGATACGTTACCGATACATGGAGAAGACAGTGATGTTCTGCAAGCCAACATTAAATTGTGGCAAAACATCCTTTAGCTAGCTTCTCTGAGCAGTACGGTCAGTCAATCTGATGCCCTCATAGCCCAGAAAGATGTACTCCATATGAAGTGTGTCACTGCAGGATATCACTGCAGGATGCCTCTAAGAGCCCTGGAGCCATGGCTATGGGTGAACACTGTTGGGCATTGCAGCAAAATAACTTGTGAAAATGCCATGAAGTGATGCCACTTAACTGTGATAAAAGAAGTCACTGTGGTGGAAAAGAAGACTAGTCCTTCTCTATGTCACTTTATCCTGATGACTGGAACACAGGCTTGGTCAGCTGCCTTGGAAGTCAGCATGCTCTTCCCCAGAAAAAGGAAGATGTTGAGGTGACTAAGTAGTACTTAGTGAAATGAGGCAGTGCAAGACCTGAAGCAAGTTTCTTCAGCTGAGTCAGCTTGAAGGAGGATGCACATTTTGCAGAAACTCAGAACCATTTACAGTCAGCAGGATCCTCACAACGGTAGTGTGAAGGGAAGGAAAGGCCAAAGGGATATCACATCATCAGGCTTACCATGAGCTCTAGAGGTAAGACTGTGCATAGCCTGGCATGCAATTGCAAGTTGTGGCAGAAAGTTATAGCTGTGTCCCCTTCTTCTCAAATAGAGACTACTGGAGCAGGAGAAGATTTGGTTTCTAACTGCCCAAACATGCTGAGGGTATTTTGCAGGCAGTCGTAAGCTCAGTTGGCCTGAACTCCTGAACAGGAGCTCTCCCAGGAGAGCTTTTTAGCTCATCGTCAGCATTGCATTGTCTTGGAGGAGTGGCAGGGTTGACTTTCATCAGTTTAGAGGGCAAGCCTCTTACTGCACTGTATTTGATTACCACTTGAAGGCCCAAGAGATACACTGTGCAAAAACTCTTGGACAAATGTGCATTTCACCCTGCACATTTAAGGGAGATGAGTGTAACCTTTCCGTTAAATTGCATTTTATGCCCACAAGAGACAGCAGAGTTTGATGAAGACTGCATTATCCCCATTACTAAAAAGGAAATTTCTAATATTTCCTCATGCTATTGCACATAGTGGAGCCTTAATTGTTTATTGAAGTGTGCATGTTTCAGGCAAAGCTTGCATGTTCACAACTGCCAGAGCATTGCATTCACTTAAGAAACAGCTATACTGAGACTTAGAGGCCACCCTGTATCAAGCTATGCTACATTTAGCCACACATCATATACAGTAAATGCTGCAGAATCTTAAGCTGGGAAATTTGTCATAAGAGCATTCTGGGTGGCTTGTTTAAGTCAGAATTCTGGTCTTGAAAGCACTGTTTTATTTAAAATCAGAATGGCTCTGACAGTCAGTATGACAAAAATATTCTGCGCTGATGCGAGTTGATTTGGGGAATGAGGTTTGGGGAGATGAAGAAGGAAAAGAAGTGGAGAGATATATTCTTTTTGTGCCTGCAGCACCAGTGGTAGCTGGTGTCCACTTTGTCCACTCAACAAAAGCATCTCGGAGTTCAGCATCTCCTGCAAAAGGATACAAGTTGTTCCTTGACTTGTCACTCTGGTTACCCTGGAAAGATCTGCAGCTCTTTTACCCTAACTTTTCTTCAAAAAGAAAGTAGAAACAGCAGCAAATTCCTTCTGGTCCTGTTCTGTAGTCAGTCTCCTTTGGAAGCAACTGCTGAGGTGCTCAGGAAAAAAGTAATCTTCCTACATTTATCAGCATTAACTGCCCATACAGCAGGATGCAATACTGAAGAAGCCATTCTTTCTTCAGACTCTCTCTAAGAGCACAGTCTTTGAGACTACTTGGACTGCAAAGGGTGAATATTTGCTTACTGAGTTAACACTGAATGTTTCAAAACCAAGTCAATGGAAAAAGCAGCCAGATCAGGAAATTATGCTTACAAGGTGCAGATCTCCTGACTACATAAACCCATTACATTGAATACGTGGAAATCCTAATTCATAAACAAAATCAAATGGATACGTTCAGGAGTACTTCTGATTAACTGTTTTGCCTCACAGTGGGTAATAAACATCGTGCCTATTCAGACTTAATGGGCTGACTCCAATGTCATACTCCCTCTTAATGGGGATATTTAGGGGGCAGCAAGAGTTAAAAAATACATATTTCTTCAAACCCAGCAGAGAGCACTCCTGCAATCCTACCACAGCCATATTACAGCCATTTGCTTAAATTTCTGGCTGGTAAGTAGTTCTAAACAATTTTTGTACTTTCATATGCATACATTGAAGCCTAAAAAACCCCCATGACTCGGACTGCTCATATCTTAGACATGTCACAGTTAATTCTGTAGTGATCCCAATAGCATATGGTGGATTAAAATATATCTCCCATAAAAGCATCCAGCCATAATCAAGGTTATCAAGTGATGGAAAAGATTTTTTCTTTCTTTTTTTTTTCTTAATAGTTTTTCAGAAGAGATTATCATTGTCAAAATTGTGCCCTTACTTCCTAACTTCTTTTTTTGTTTGTTTTTTTGGCTTCTTCTAGCCAGTTTTGCTTTCCTCTGCAAGATTAAATAATTCTTTAGTATTGCATATTTTCTTCCCATGAAGACATTTATATTTTGTAGTCTATTTACTTCTCAGTAATCTTTCTCATAAGCTAAACAGATTGAGCTTTTAAGTGTTTTGCTATAAAGTATTTCTCTTCCCTTTCTCAAATCATTCCATCCTATTTTTTAATATCCTTCCCAATTTTTCAACACCTGTTTTAAAATGTGCAGAGAAAAGCTGTTGCATGAATTAGTCTGATCAATGTTGTATACAGACATGAAGTCTTATCTCTGCTCTTGATTCCTTTCAGAGCATTAGCTAATCACAAATGTCAAAGCAGTAGTCCAACTTAGTCACTGT